TGTAGAAGAAGGATCGTTACCCAGTTACCTATCTCAGAAATTGAGATAGGAATATATTTAGTATGTATAAAGCACAGTGTTAGAGCTGGAACTTGCCAGAATGGCATCAGTGTCGAATGTGTCTGCTTGCTGGAAATCTCTCATGTAGGGGGGAAGGAAAGGGAAAAGAATTTGAAATTTCCATAGGAAGTCAAAACTGTGGCTTTGGTTCTGACCTCAAACCTGTTCTTTGCTGATGTACTAGAAGGAAGAGAGGGAGTTTTGATTTATTCAGATATTAGTTCATATTTAAGTTAATTAGATTTATTTTTTCCAGAATAAAAAGCTATCCCCAATTATAGGTAGTAAGCTATTTCTTATAGGCAGTCCTGATGTTGTTAGGTCTTGATTTGAAGGATTAGACTAGTGCCTTCCAAGTTAGCTTGAGGATTCCCTGGGGTATAGAGCTCCATGGAAGGGACGCGAATGTTTGTGGGGAAAGTGGACAAATGAACACTGGAGACTTGTAGCTGAGATAAGGAGGGGATGGAAAACAGAGAGATAGATAGATTATAAAGAAGTAAGTAGTATACTTTGGATATGGCTTGGATCTGTATGGAAAAATAGATGACACTGTTAAATATGCTTCTCATACTGAGGACCCAAATTGCAGAAAGGATGATATACAGGGGTAAGGACAATCTTTTGTAATATATAGGACCAGTCACAGTGGGGTACCTGTCCCACACCAGGCGTTCAAGGCAGTGTGAGAAAAGGACTACAGAAAGGGAGTAATTATTTGCATCTGTTGGTGAGAGAGGAGCAGATGAGGAAATTAAGAGTTCAGGTTTGCTGATGTTGATTTTGTTTAGATTGAAGTACCTGGTGGGTAGCTTGTTGTGTACATCAGCTCTAGTCTTCAGTTATTTCTGTGCAAGAGTATGTGGACACTTTCACTTTAGATTAAATGCCCAATATAATTTTGTTGTGTGTTGATAAGCATTGATAGAAAGTCACAGAAGGATTGTGTGAGGAACCAGGAGGTGAAACTTTTTTTGTAGAAGCTTGTATAGTAAATATGAAGCCATTTTTTTTCCTTAAGGCCAGCTAGATAAATTCTTATGTTGGATTACTATGTGTGATTGCCTTCTTTTAAAAAAATAGCTATTGCATTGATTTACATAGTTTTCCATCTCTCCATATATTACAGTTCTAGTCTAATCCTTATCTCCTGAGCTTTGTAGATCATGGCAAAATGTGCGTCCACCCATCACTCCTGAATAGATGAGCTTGTGAGTTGTACTCGTCCTAAGATATAAAGCAAATGTGTTGTACTTGACTGTTGAAATCGTATCATAACTGGTAGCAGACCTGTTCTTTATATTTGTACCAAATAAGGTGCCCTGTGGTCATCCCTGTTTCTCTCATTTGGGCTTTTGTTTTTGTTTTTCTGTTTAAGAATTTGAAAATGAAACTCAGTGTTGGGGAATTCAGAGAATCAACTTGCTTGTCTTCAGTGGAGCTTTGTTCAGTGGATGATTTGACCCTAAAAAACTGTTAATAATAATACATACAATGCAATCCATTTGGAGATGTGCCATGAGTTTATATAGGTGAGGTGGATATCTTTTCACTTTATGGTTGAGGACTGATAGGGTGAGTGAACGGAGTTGCTGAAGATTCTGGCAGGCGGTGCACACAGCAGAGTTAAAGCAGAGGTCTACTTAACTTCTCCCTGTACCGTAGCTAGATGCTACAATATCCTCTTTAATAGTCTGAAAACAGAGTATGTGTTGAATTATAGCAGTTACCTCTGTGATCAAGATGTTAAGCCTCTCCCGCCCCAAATGAAGATCTTCGTGGACAAAATTGTTTTTTCTTTCCTCCCTTTGTTTTTCTAACAAAGAAATAATCAGCTGTTACTGTCTTGAGAGCAGATAAATATATCTTTATGTAATGAATTCTATTATACAAGCTATAGGAGTTACAGGGGAAAATGTATGCATATATGCAGGAACCTATGGATTTCAGTTAGCTGCCCACCTAACTCCAGGTTTTTTATGGAATATCAGATGAATATACTCGCATAAGTGGTGTCTTGCATTGTGTTTACTTCTGTAAAAACACTTGGGAATTAAAATACCACTTGGGGTGTGTTAGGCTATCAGAAATTGATTCTAAAAATAGCTACTTTGTAATGGTACCAGGAGTAAGGAAAGCTTAGGAGCTAAAATTATAGTAAACTCTGTATCAGTTTCAATGAAAGGGTTATAAACCTCTTATTTATAGTCTGTTGGTATTATGCTATCAAAAACGTTTTCACATTTGAATTGGAATTAGTTATATTACAGATTTAGGTAATTTTAAAATGTGTAATGCTGTTACTCCCCAGTTATTTAGAAAGTGGCTATATTTATTGGTGTAGGTATGTATAATAGGTGACTACATGGATCTATGTGTCCTTTTGCTATTGTGACATTCATGATTCTATGATTCTATCTGTATTTCCTTCCATTGAGTATGTGAATGGCTTGAATGTGTATCTTAGCAAATGCAAAGGAGATAAAAAAAATGTTCATCTTGGTAGATTTATATTATTTTAATTTAAGCTTCAGTTCCATTACTTTTTGATTAAACATACTTCTATCTGATGCCATCCATCTTTTATCACTATGAAATCTTCTCCCAAGCAGAAAGAAGGATGGCATCTGAATTATGCAGAAATCATTTTCTATCTGTTTTTCCTTAAATGCTGGGCAGTCTTTTTCATAATCCCACCAATATCGCATGTGGCTTGTTCTAATCCTCTGCCTATTTCTGAATATTCAACTGTCAAACCTTGGTCTTTTGCTATTTGTTTTTCATGCCAGTGTATTCTCCTCAGTGTCATTTGCTTCAGGTGTAGATCAAACTCCCAACTCAGGGCTGGGGAACACTGGGTTATCATTATCTCTGAAAAGCTTTTGACTATCAACTTTTAAAGTGGTGTTGTAGTTCATACATTTCTACGTATAACTTTAAAAAGAAACAAAATGTAACAATGCTTGGATGACTGAATCACTGAAATTTATGAGATAGCTTAGACCACAAGTAGGTCACAAGTTTGGTAGTGAAAAAGGTAAATACCATATACAAAGTTTCATTCATAATTATACGTTGCCCTCTTTGAGCATGGTTGGTTTTATTATTTATATAATACGATTCACAAAAATATAATTGGTAATATACAGTGAGAAACTTATTTCTTGAGCTTGAGCAGAGTCTTCTGCAGTAAACCAAATGAAATTTCACTTTTAAATACAGGTGATCACTACCAACTTTCCTGGTGAGCAAAATCTATTGAGCAGTGTTGTGTACAATTCACTGCATTATAGTTACAGACATTGGTTTTGTCCTTAAGCCAAGTTATCTCCTGTGTTACTAACCTTTATAGATACCAACAGTTTGTCTGGGTGATTGAGAAACCCGTACACACCAAGCCTTCCCTGCTGGTAGAGGAGTACAGATTGGATCTGTAAACTGTTCTCTTCCTTGGTTCAGATAGTGAGTGTTCTGGTGTGTAAGTTTCATACCAACTTGGAAAGTAGAAGATAGAACAGGAAAAGAGAAAAAAAAAAAAGGCAAGAAATAGAAAAGAAGAAGAAGAAACAAAAGCAAAACAACAAGAGTTGACCTAGGATTTCTGGCTATTTGGCAAAATGGCTTTTCTTCGCCAAAACCCAGTCAATCCTCTTTGATTTTTGAGGACGAAGGAGGACTGACAGATGTTTCCTGGTGACTAGACTGTGTTATCAGCGCAGGCTCATGGGCAGCACGTAAACTCTGTGCTGTATTCTTCTTGCTGTGCACATAAAGTGTAACTTCTTTGGTGGTGGCTTCTCTGGAGACCAGAAGCCAGCTATTTCCTGCAAGGGACAGAACGGGGAGTTGGGAAGTAGTAGAGCAGGGTGCAATAACAGCAACAGAAAGGAAAGAGGGAGGAGAGCTAAAATAGGCAATGAAAAGTGAGAAAGTGAGCTGCACTTTATTACATTGCTCACGGGGGTCATTGATAAGTAATGTGTCGTTGCATTCTTGTCTAGTTAAATCCTTGTCATCAGGGACCAATTTTGCACTTGATACTACTTGTCCTGTTGCCCTGCATATGTGCTGAGTTTTTCAACTTCAGCGTTATGTTCTTACTTGGTTATACTGACATTCATCCTGGTTGTCTGGAAATCTGCCTGGGTGTCTCAGAAGGAAACGAAAATACTTCATTGTTTTGTAGGACCTACTGTCTTTTTTTTCCCCTCCTTTTTTCATTTTGTCTGAGAGCAGCTGTAGCTTGTTTCAGGAAGGTGAACTTCTATATATCCATACAAAACAGGTAGCAGAATGCTTTACTGAAGCAACGAACAATTTGGAGGTAGAACACAAATGTTAATTCATCATTGATGACATGTAAATGAACACCCATGCCTTTTCTTTCAAACCTTCATGAACCGTTTCAGGTCTTTAAGCCACTTATGTGTTCTTAGTTTTACTAAGGATACTTACTTTGTATCCTCTGGTCATGTTAATCCATGTTAATTAAAAGCATTGAGTTTGGTTACCTAAATTGTATACAGCACCCATTGTTTCTAAAGTTCTAATTCTCTGTATTTCTCTACTCATAACATTAGCCTTGTGAATCCACGGTCTTTATTACAGCTTTGAACTTCTGCTTCTGGCAAAGGCAACTAAAGATCAGACGCTTTCAAATGGAAACTAAACTTTTTAACTGTTTTTAATAAAATGTAAAAATGAACACATAGTTTTAAATGAATAGGAAATTATTTTGTATATTTAGTCTTGCGTGTGTGAAAATCTAAAAAAGCTTGCAAATACTTGTAGTGCTGCTTTCCCTTGCTTTCTAAAATTAATCTTTTGAAATAAACATGCATTTTAAATAAATATTGGAAGACGGGAGATAGAAGATTGTTAGCTGAAAGGCATCCTCGTAATATATTTAATTACATTTTTGCTTATTTTTCCCAATGTAGGTGTCCGCCTAGACAGAGTACGTGGAGGTCGCCAGAAGTACAAGCGCAGAATAGATGCAGAGAATAGCCCATACCTGAACCCTCAGCTAGTTCAGCCAGCAAAAAAGCCATGTGAGTACACCAGATATATAAAATTTTTCTTTGAATACAAGGTATTGACTCCTAGACCTGTTTGCTAAACTGCTTCTGACTGGGACAAGGATTTGGTCAGAAGATATTACCATGAACACTGTATCCTTTTTACTGTTAACATATTTTGTTTTAAATGTGCTCATCTTTCTCAAGTGGAGTTGAACAAAGAATATTTTTTACAGGTGGAAGTGTATAAAAGCATGGTTTATGCAGTGCAAATTTTACATTTACAGGTTATCTTTATTTTCAGTGGTACATAAAATGGTTCATACTGAGATCATTAGTTCATTGAAGCTTCTAGTTTCAGATTCCACAAGAAAGTGATTTTGTAGTTTTCACTAACTAAATGAGTTTGACTGCTCAACCTCCCAATGAAAATACATTAAGAGCCTCATTAATTTATACCTACAGATTAATACACTGCCTAGCATTAGATTAAAACAGCAATATGCCACACTAATAACAAGCATAGATTGGTAGTTTGGGCTCTAGTACCCTTATGGATTTTTTTTGCTTTGTTTTGTTATGTTTTAATAATGTCCTTGATTGTATCTCACCAGGCTGAAATTAAGAGAGAGAGAGAGAGAGAGTGAGCTGATCATCTCATTGCTAAAATACAAGTTCCATCCTCTTTGCGATTAACTAAAAATAGTTAGGGGTTTTGCTTTGCAGCTTATATAAACTCAAGCAGCGACTGTACTAATTCCATGAAGTAAATTTAATAGCATTATAGTTGTAGTGCAAGAGGCTAGTGTATTACCGTGCAAAGGCATACACGCTATCTCAGTGTTGTAAAGTCTTCCAAATTCAAATGAGAATATACATGTCCACTTGCTCCTGCTAAGAAGGTCAATTTGCTCCTAAAATAGAGAAATAAGCCAGAGAAATAAGGAGGGCCAACTCTTCCTTGTCTCGTTTGTCTCTGCCCCTTATGCCTCTGACAACACACATGTCAGTTTTAGGCTCTTGAAAATACCTGGCTGTATGGAAAATGGAATTTGTTTCCGTTCGTGTTCCCCAGTAGGGGACAGTGCTGTGTACAATACGTTTGAGCATATGGGGATCTGGAGAGCAAATAAACAGTCTTTGAACTGTAAGTGAAAGGGCATTTTAGCTGTGTCAAAGAAAAACCAGCCAGTTTTACATAAAATTAAGGCTTAAGTGAACATATGGCATAGTTTCCTTTTGCCTTTCCAAAAAACATTATGCTGATTATATTCCTTCAATTGTCCAATCTGGCATCTTCTACTCAGCCTCCATAAGCTGTCCCACCGTTCTGTAAATACAATCTAGGGCTGCACTAAGCAGATTTTGCACATTATAATAAAAACTTTCTGATAATACAATAAAATTTAATAAACTCTAATGCTTAATTTCATTAGAGGTTTAGTTTTCCTGGGTGCACAGATTGTCAGTTTTTCATTTACTTGATATTGTCATCGAGTAGAAATGTTGATAGCCTAGCATACCAAAAAAGCTGAGCCCAAACAGGCAAAAAAAATAAATCCAGCCCCAAAACCCCAAGCCCTTTAGTATGAACAGAGGTTAGCACTGTTGTACTTAAACACAAGAATCAGTGTGTAAACCCAAGATTACTGCAAAGTAGTGCAGTTATATTACCTTTAAGATGATAACTACACCAATTTCTGTAAGCTCCATTTGTCTTAGATAAACTAACCTCCTTATAAATCATTACTCATTATCTAAGTGCCTCCCTTCATTTGTTCATCCAATTACAAGCATTTTTGTAACAAACATTTATAAAACTTAATTTTCAGATCCTGTCAGATCTAAGTGTCAAGACTTGAAACAGTTGAATCGGTTTTGTGTGGAAGTAGCCTCGGAGATTTTCTGGACCCTGACTGATAGTTTGTGCATAACAAAGGCACAGGAATGAAAATTGGGTTCTATTGATTCTAATTAGGGAAACATTAAATAAGATTTACCTAGAAACAGTGCTCATGGCTATTCAGTTTCCTGAGTGATGGAGCTTTCCAAGTACACTCAGAATTTTCCTATGGTCTATACTAATGCATGCTCTAATAGGGGTAGCTTTTTCCCCCTACGGGGAAAGAACAGGTGTTTGGAGGATCCTTCCTACACCTACTTTGGGTCCCTATTGGATTTCCCAGCTTTAGCATGGAATCTAATTCCATACCTGTAGATCTTGTAAATTGTGAAAATAAAAAGAATGTGAGATTTTGTGAATCATGAGTCAAAATATACAATATTCCTGAATGATCTACAAAAAGCCACTGGTCAGGAACCTAATAAAAAAAATGGAAGAGATTCTTTGGTCATTTCTTCTGTTTGCAGGGAAAAAAACAGAACTTGGGAATATGAGTGATTCTTCATTCATTTATCACTGATTAAAAAACGCAGAAGTTTTTTCAAGTCCTCGGCTATATGTGTTTTGATATTAAGAAACTCTAATTTATTTATCCTACTTTTCAATACAAGTGAAAATATTGAAATTTGGGAAGAAGCAATGTTATCTTTTCTCACTTAAAAAGATTATTTTCTGTGTGAAATTAAGCAGGATATAAAAAGACCATTTAAAAAATAAAAAAAATAATGTGCAAAGGCTGTTTGCCAGTGTAAGTTAAAACTACCATCTGTCATCTTTAAATAAGAATAGAATTCCTCATTAATCAGTTTGATAATCAGTAGAATATTGAGATCAAGAATTACTCAGTTGGCATGGTTCCTGTAGTTCATATAGAGCATGACTATATCCCCTTGTAATAAAACATGCTTGATGTGATGGTTTCCCGTTGGCTCTTGCACTTATTTTATGAAGGGCTAACATATATCACGACTTCTGACACACAAATTCGGAATAAGACAAAAATTGTAGAGACGGTAGATCAGAATTGAGGAGTCTGTGTCACAAAAAGAACAGTAAAGTATCCGAAATTTGAATCAAGTGAGTATTTTATGGAAATCTGTCATGGGCAGGTAGGGATGCTCTCTGACGCTCCTGGGCAAGTCACATCCCCATCAGCTTCCATTGCAGCTCCCTGACAGGAGGACAGTGTGGTCCATCCTGTGACTTAGATGCAGAAGGGAAAAATTATACTAATTCTGTCAGCTTTCTATGCAGTCAAAAAATACTTCACACCTTGCAGTGGAATCCCATTTGTATCAAGCCCCATGACTTCATTCTAAGGAAGGGAATGGATTAGTGTAAATTCACTAAAGGGTGATATCTGGGCTTTAAATTCTAGTGTTGCATTTGAGGTCACAACGTGTACCTACCATGAAAGGTAAAATATAAATATATTGGGAAGTATAGTAATGTATCCAGCATTAAGGGGCTTTAATATATTAGTCCTTTTCCAATTTTTCAGTTCTGCCTTCTCAGAGTAACAAGTCAGGCTCCAGTATAGAGATATTTCCGTTGTGCATCCACGTGGATATAATGCTCATTTTATGTTTATCCTACTTACAGAATACAGAAGAGCAACACTGTATTGTAAATCTTCCAGACTCCTCTACTCTTTACTTTTCCTTATAAATTAATTGATTCTTCCATATAGATTTCCCCAAGTCATCTGGATGAAAAAGTAAATATTAAACACATGAATGGAAATACTATATAGAAAAAAAACAACCAGTGTGTGAGCATGATAAAGTACCGTTCTTTGCACAAAACCAGTTTTCTGAGATAGGGTCTGCATTTATTGATACTTTTCTTGGTTTTACACTCTTTATTCTCATTGATTTTAATAGCTATTTCTGACTAGAAATGAGAGGACATCATTAGTCTGTTTTTGTACTTAAAGAAACCAATTCTCTACATCTGAAACAAAGTATGTAGTTGGAATTGCTCACAGAAGTTACAGATTTCAATGACTGACTAATTGCTTGTGGTGTTTACTTGCTCAAAAAACACACCTGCCTTTGGAGTGGGAGGTTGCAGGTAATTAGAGGAAGGCAAAATTTTCCTCCCTACATAGTCTAAAATATGTCATAATGCATGAATATTTTTCTACAAAGTTTGTATTCTGATATTAGGAGGCGACCTGTATTTCTATATTCCATTAAATTTACCTTCTTAAGAACACACATGTCGAGCTTCATAAACATTTTTAGTGGATCAGATTTGTTTGTGCTGTAACTGCTTGCAGAAGCCAGTGAAGTTACAATAAGGCTTAATTAGGTCCAGTACCTTAAGACAAATTCTTGTGCACTTTGAACTATGAGTCATCTGTTTGAAAAGTAGAATGATGCTACTGGTGATCTTGTACTGTTTTGGACCATTTTTACAGATAACAAGATTGTCTCCCATTTGCTGGTGGCAGAACCAGAGAAGATCTATGCTATGCCTGACCCCACTGTTCCAGACAGTGACATCAAAGCACTTACCACTCTTTGTGACCTGGCAGACAGAGAACTGGTGGTGATCATTGGATGGGCCAAGCATATTCCAGGTACGTGCAGTATTTATTGTAAATAGATGACATACAGAAATCATTGCGTGGGTTATTCTGTTGTGGTGAAAAATATGATTTGTTCTCTCACTAAGTTTTCTTAACTCTCCAGATTTTCACATAGGACATAGGTTAGATAATAATACATCTTACCTTGAAAATACTATTATTGTTGCTATGACTGTTACTATGTTAATAAGTCTTAGACACTGCTCAGTGAATGAGGTTTGCTCATGCATTCCTTTTATTAAGAAAAACTTACTTTGCTATCCAGAGTGTTAGCCTGGTATGAAGGGTGATGTAAGTGCTCTCCTCTGTACTCATCTGATTTAGCAATAGTTGAATGCAAGTCTAGTTTCTCTATTCCATAAAGGCAGCAACATCTTATACCACAGGAGGTTCAAAAATTCAATTATATTTTGGCATGGCACAGAGGAATTGTTCTCTTCATTGAACTAGTGTGAGACCTGCATTGTACCAGCAGTTCAGTAGAAAGAACTGAATTGTACCGAAAGGTCTCTTTCTGTGGCTTAGTAGTTCCTTGGTCTGCATGAAATGGACTGTGGTCTTCATCAGGTAAACATGTTGATACCGTAAAAGCTAACTGGCTCCCATGTTATCAAGAAAAGCAAGACTCATCAGAAGCAGTTTCTCAGAAGATTAACAATTTCTTCAGAAATTTGAGGTATGTTTTTTTTCCCCCCGAATTCTGAGGTATTTGTGCTTGCTCTGGGCTAGCAGACAAGCTTATGGGCAGTCTCTAGAGTTCTCAGTCTGTCACCTTTCACAAATGGTAAATTCACCGTTTGAATGATATGGTAATTTTTTTTACCACAAATGGTAAAGTTTTTTTCTTTTTTCTTAAAAGTGTTTTTCTAGTCCAGCAGATGAGTGAGCATTTTGGTGTGTTTTCATCAGATCATTAGTTTTCTAATTTTGATAGTGGAGCCTTATTGAACATAAGAACTGGTATATTTTAATTCCTCCAAGTAATAAAACACCCTTGTTTTAGATACAATTTTGGTATACTTTAAAATTAGAATAAATAATCCAGTCAGTTGTTTGTTTAGCAAAGTGAATTTATTTCTGGTATCAAAAGAAATTGCAAACAAATAGAAAGAAATAGTCTTTGTGTGTTTTTTGTTTTTTTTTTTTCCCTTGTGCTAACCAGCACAAGGCCTCAGTTCTTTTGGTAGGTGCTTCTGGGTCTAATATAAGCACTAACAAAGAATAGTAGTAAAATAATTTGTACATTTATGGAAGATTATTTTACTTCAGATAAGAGACAACAACCTACAGACTCTAAAATAGTCAGTGTGTGACACAGTTGAAATTTAGTCATTCTCTACCACAACTGGCGTATAAACAAGCTTTTGTATCACAAGCAACATTTTTCTGGTACAGTTAACTTATTTCTGTCTCCTTAAACTAGTTTGTCTTTATGCTTTGAATGCTACAGTAATTTCTTTAATCAAATTGATGGAAGTCCCTTTCCCAGCCCACACTGAAACCAATTTATTGGTCATGATACGCCAGCTATGTTGCTAACAGTCGTAACGAACTGTCAGGCAATATCGCAGTGAAGCTAATTTGAAGTCATTAGGTGTGCAGCGTTCGGGCAACAATTTGTTACAGTGGTTAGTAACACAGCTGACATTTCTGAATGGCTTTGTTCAGAGCAGTTCTAGATGAGCCCAAGCAAATTGTAAACTAATTTAAACATCACTCTATATTATACTAGCTACTTTGTCTTACACTAGTTGCTAATAAAGCACCCCAAATTAAGTCAAAATGAGTTAAATAGGTGAATTTGAGTTTCATCTTTGGAAGATACCTAGATCACCTTAACCAAAATAGAGTAGCTCTCAAAGAAGTCAGTCATGCTCCATAGTAGTTGCAGGGGAGCTTTCATCAGTTTTATTTGTGAATATGTTGTTTAGCTTTGATTGGGCTGGAAGGGTTGAAAAGAGCGGAGGAATAAGGCTGAGCAGCCTTTAAAATGATAGTTTTGGTTAGCCTGGAAAAGTATTGGATACTGTGAACTGGCCTTGAAAATTTGAAGTCTGCATTCTGAACCAGTTGAGGAACATTTCTGCCATGAGGCAGCCTTTTATTACAAGGTAAACTCAAAACCAAGGCTGCTGTGGTAAAGCCACACTAGCTAAGTTTACTCACCTTACTCCGTTTAGGAATGAGAAGGAAAAAAAAAAAACCCTGAAATAAAGACAATATTTTTATAAGCCTCTGGTAACAGAGGTCAGTGATAAAATCTGTGTTTGTTGTCTGGCATTTGATCACAGAAATCAAAATTCAAAAGGGCTTGACATGCTAAAGGGCAAATGTGATGAGCTTTTGTAGCTTGGTTTTGAATGATGGAGTACTGCTGAACTTGGACTGCCTACGCTCAGCTAATGTCTGTCACAAAACAACTTGTAGGAAAGCCTGGATTGGTGATAGCTGACTGTTTTCTAAGCTAACAAATGTTACTGTAGGCAGAAACAGAACTGGAAAAAGGATGAGTTAGCAAGAAAGTGCGAATTGCATGAAAGTTCACTGTAGTTTAGTGGGCTAAGTAAATCCTTGGTGTAAATCTCTTGGAATCGGTTAATTATACCAGTAGTGAATTTGTGCCTAGCACAGCAAAGCAGCAATCAGCAGATCTTTCTTTACTATAGTGATTTCTTAAGGTTCAGTATAAATAAAAGGCCTTTGTATATCAGGTGCTTAATAACTAATAAAGATCTCAGCTGTAAAGCTTTTAATCCAAAGTAAAATTTGTCTTTGTGGAAGAAACCAAAATAATGTTTTTGCTATTCTAACAGAAAGTCTTTTAATGAGATTATCTATAAAAAGGTAACAATGCAGTATGCTTTCTGCCCTGGCCAACTGTTTCCCATTGCAGTCATGGACCGAAAAATGTTTTAAAATTATACAAAGTTCAAATGCTTTTATAAAATCATTAGTATTTTTGTGCTATTGGAAACATTTCAATAGTTGCTTTTATTGAACAAAAAGTCTATGCCATCTACAAAAGGAAATATTGAAAGAAAAATATATATGGAAAGCCTTTATCAGTAAATAGAATTAGGCTCCTTGCATTTATAAATCAAATAAATGGAAAGTGTGTTGTTATGAAACATGACCATGTCTTATCTGAAGAAGAAAAAGATCACAATGGCATTAGGAAATGCTTGACTTTAGTTAGAGGAGCGTAAGGGCACAAGAACAGATGATGGTGCCCTAATAGCCCTTTTTAAGAATGACAGGGCCCCGCCATTAGCATCCTTTTATATCCTTGGAAATTGCTCATGCCTCGCTTTTCTGGTTCCTATCTGCCTGACTCTTTTTTATTTCTCTTTCAATTTCATCCGCGCTCGGATAAGCGCATGCTAACACAATATGATTGAGCTGTAAAATGGAACGCTGTCGCCTCTAATCTCTTTTATGTAGATATGGAGGTACTTCCACACTCCACTTCATTCTCTCTCCATTGTTGGCCTTTTTAGAATGTGTTGCCGAGTAATGGAGGCTCAGTCAAATATTAGAGCTAGGTTTCACAGGGTGTGATAAGAAGATTATCAGCCCAGCAGTCAGATCTATTGTTGTTCTTTGTGTCAGATTAAAATATTCCGATGTACTGTAACTTAGTTAGTAAAATACTGAAGGTGCTTAGGGAGAGGCCAATGCTGCTTCATCTCCTGCCTGGTGAGACAAAACTCCTGCTAACTGACCTAAATAAACTGTAAATATATTTAAGAAGCCTCTCCAAGACTATTTTATTTTGTTTCATTTTATTTTATTTATCTTTTAAATACGAGAGCCCTGTTTAATTCAGTATTTACTGGTGATTGAGTTTTCCACCCTTTGTATTGTATTTTGGGGAGGATCTATTTTATGTTGGTTGCATTATATTAATTAAATTCTTTTTGCAGTATGAGGCAGAATTCTGCTGGTACCTAGCCACAGTATCAGAGTCGTTTAGACACAATTTCTCTAATGTAACTATCTCATTGACATTCAGCAAAAATGTGCAATGTTCTTTCATATTAAGTGGAGGCAGGAAACGTTAAGCTCTTAAAAATGTGCATAACAGGAAGCTAAAGACAAAATGTTCTCTAAAAAAATTTGCATGCATGAAAAAACATCAGCCAGACCATAGAAATCAACTTTTTGCACTTAAAATGAAAAATTTGTTTGGAAACAGTAAATCAGACTAATACATCAAAAATAACTAGTTACATTATTTAGTAAAATAAGCCTGCCTGTCTTCAACTGTGTCCCTGTTTTGCTAGCAGTAACAGTGTTCAAGAAAGGGAATATTTAGAAATTGATACTGCTACTTGTGCTAGTATTAAAATAAAAAAAAATAAAAAGAGGGCATGATTTTGATGGAGCAAATTTAAAGATGTTTTGAATATTTTAGTGTTAATGTTAATGCTTTATGAAATATTATTGTTCCGGCATACTCTTTGTGGAAGACAATATTTAAGCTTTCCTTTCCAAAGCAGCCCTCAGAGGTACAGTTTAACATTCTAATACTGAACAAGAACATGATTTGCTGCAGAGTCGTCATTTCTCAAATGCTTTTTTCTCATCATTTGTTTCAGAAATGGTACTCCATGTAGGTAAAAGTACAGAGAAAAAGTTGACCGTAATAACTTTTGGAAAGCTGATGTTCCAAGAAGGCATGAGAGCGTAGATATCTGGTACCTCCATACAGATATGAGTTAGGTATATATGTACCTGTTCTCATGCACGTAGTTGTTTTTGTATTTATATCTCAGTGGACATGCAGCATGTGTTTAAATGACAGAGAAAATGCTGAATGTTACTTCATGGTAGTATTCACATTGGTAGGACTTTGACACAGACTGAAATCATACGTTGGAACTACCTGGTGTATATAATCACATACGTTTTATGTATAGTCAGCATCCTGTTTGTGCCCAAATCCTTCTTTGGATTGTTACTGGAACAGCTAATATGAAGTGTCAGCTCTG